CCAGAAAATTATCTTCTCTCATTCTCACATTCTCATATTCTAGCTTATCTCTACACAAATCTCTACACTTTGTTTGGCACATACTAATCTCTTACACATCAGACGAATGCTATGACTTGAATTTTGGCCCTTTTGTTATTATTACTAATACTTTTTCGACAGTCCTTTTTCTTAAAGAAGGAAAGCAAAGGCCAACGGTGGAAGTCCATTTCCGAGAAGGCTTCAATGTTCCTAGGCACTGGCAAAATGATATATTGAGGCAGTGACATCCTAATATGATAAATTTACTCTAAAGTTATCCAAAGTTTCATTATTCAAAGGTTTTTTTCGGTGTCAGTCTCATTCCCTATAAATAGTTTTTATTTGTAATGCATGCGCTAAATAAGATCGTGGAGGGAGCATAATGTCATTGCGCCAGTATTTCAATTCAATCACGCATTGTCACGCAAAAAGTTTAAAAAGCGTCGTACACAATTGGTTTAGAATACGTGATTGGTAAAAAGCGTCATACACAATTGGTTTAGAATTCGCGATTAATTTGAAGTCCCGACACAAATAGCGTAAAAAAGATAAAACAGGTCATTAACTCGTGATTGGCTTGGAATACCGACAGTGTCACATTCAGTAACTCTTTACTCTGGGGATGAGGGTCACGCTATATGCACGCCCCCATTTGCAGTTATATATATGTTACATAAAATTTCTCATAAAAGCAGCTAGCACAGAGTATACCAATTAACCACTAAGCAAACCCAAGCCATCGATGTCTTCAGAAGCTTCGGAAAACGCCGAAATGTCCCGTATCCGTAGAATCGCGGAATGGATGGAATCAGATACTGAGTCTGATGATCTCCATGGCTTGCGTAGTCGTCTCATAATTCGTTTGCAGATGGAGGTAGGACGACACTACATACGGCGCCGTCTACTAGCAGACGACAACTTCAATATCAATACAAGTATTAATAATTTCAATAATATTCGTAATAATGGGCCGTTGGCGGCGGCGGCATCCAAGGCCTCCATAGACGCCATGCCAAGAGTGACCGTCACGAGCCAAGGCGCCGAGTGCAGTATCTGCTTGGAAGGCTTGGAGGTCGGCGCTGAAGCCAGAGAGATGCCCTGCAAACACAGGTTTCACTCGCTTTGTATCGAATTGTGGCTCGGCAGGCGAGGCTCCTGTCCGCTTTGCAGGTTCTCTATGCCCTAGGAAGGAACATCATTGGATTAATTGAGATTAATCCCCTTAATTAATGTCTGGTTTGAATTGGATTATCATTTGCTTTCTTAGGCTCCTTTTGGAATGAAGGAAACATTTTGTTCATGAAAGCTTTTTTAGAAGTGCTTTACTAGAAGATCGTCAAAGAAATTTCAATTTGGCTTTTTAGTTGTCCCTAAATTTAGATCGGATTTACATTTTGGTCCTCCAATTCGTAAAATGATTGTTGTAGTCCCTCAATTCTACTTACGTTAGTCCTGTCGTCATATTTGTTAAATTTTGTCAAATTTAAGTGTAAAATTATCACTTCAAATCAAACCTCCATCACCCACACCAAACATCACTCCCATTACCACTTTGTACTCAAATCTACCATTTCCACTACCACAAGAACAAACCTCAGTTGCTTTCTTTTGAATTGTTTTATTTACACCCATCAAACATCCAAGTTCACCCCACTATTTTTTCAAAACCTTAAAATCTAATTATACCTTTCATAATAAATTAAAATTTTATTATTTCAACACCAACAACCCCAAATTCGACCAACCACTTCTCATTGATAAACATAAAAATACGATTTTGTCCATTATAAAAAAATATAAAAATATTATTTTGTCCCTAAATTTGACATAGACTAACCCTACTGAACGAAGTGGATTTCATGAACTACAAAAACTATTTTGCAAATTCGAGAACCAGAATGCAAATCAAGTATAAATTTAAGAATTATGGCAACTAAAAAACCATTTCAATTTATTGAAAATCCAAAGAAGTTATG